GACTGGAGGAGTGACTCAACTCTCACTGACAGTACAGCACAGTCAGCATCAACTGGAGGAGTGACTCAACTCTCAATGACAGTACAGCACAGTCAGCATCGACTGGAGGAGTGACTCAACTCTCACTGACAGTACAGCACAGTCAGCATCGACTGGAGGAGTGACTCAACTCTCAATGACAGTACAGCACAGTCAGCATCAACTGGAGGAGTGATGCAGCTCTAAAAATTTAAGATCACAGTGGAATAAGCAGCAAAGGGAGAAGTACAGTATAGCAGTTCTAATTGAAAGCCAGTACTGAGTGAACTGAGTGAACTATAGGAGTACTGTAATACTGAGGTGTTTACTGGCTGAGCTGCAAGCCCCGGTAATGGAAATCTCATTATGAAAAGGCAGGGTTTGTAAAACAGAGTGTTTGGCCAAACTTGTCACTATATTCACAGTATGCAACTGCTTCACGCAGTTTCAAATTTATCAACACCAACATCGGCTAGAATCCACATCCTGGCTTTATACCTGGGAGTCTGTAAATTCCCAGCTCCACAGCTGCCTACAGAAATACATACTGTAAGACTGGTGAGTGCTATTACAATTTGATTTGACCTTTGAAACACATCTGGCTTCCTCAGGAGGCAAGTGCCCTGGCTATGCTGGGAGAAGAGAACCTCTTGGAAGCCTGGAGTCTGATATCCCAACAACATGGACAGCCCATGGGAAGATGATCATAGCTTCGGTGCTCGTGTGCTTGAGGGTGCTTATGTTTGTGGCTCTGTCCTTCCACTTTATAGACTACATCTAATTCAAACAGCTTTGGGAGTGATATTCCAGTTCTTTTAAGAGTCACATGTTTGTTATCTCAGCACCACTTAGTTAGATAGGAATGATATCTGCATGGAAGACTGTCCATTTGGCTGTGCTTTTTATGTCATGATCTTCAAACACCTGTTTCCCCAAGTGACCAAAGTCTGCAGTTGGGAGGGTTAAGATGATGCTGGAGTTATTCATCAATATCAGCCTTTTTTAAAAGTTAACTTTCAAGTTACTGGAAGAGTTCAACATGAATCCAAACTGATGGCACTGGGTGTGTGCATCTGTAGATTGCTAAAAGACAGTCTTTGCTTGTTAGCATATGAGAAATCCCATCTCGCTCCATATGTTGACAGCTGTTCAGAGATTCTTTTGTCTCCAAATGTATACTGCAACAACATCAGCATACTGGAGTTTGAATCTTGACGTTGAGGTGATTTGTTTTTGTCTTAATCAAGACAACGTCACAATCACAAATAAATAAAAAGCAAATTAAATGCGTGGGTAGAAAGCAAAAAGCAGTGTGAATGTAAACGAAAGCAGATATGCTTAAGCTTATCGAAGCGCTAGTAAAACCCTGTATAGAATATTGTGTTCAGGACTGGTCACCACAACATCAAAAATATATTATAGCCTTAGAAAGGGTTCTAAGAACTTCTCAAAGAAGAGCAACACGAGTGCTCTCCATTAAGATAATGGAGCTTAATCTCTGAGGCTGGAACAAACACTCCTGACACTGAGAGGAGATATGACACAAAATACACAAAAAGAGGTACAGACACGCTATTCGCTGTCACTGACAGTGTGTCAAAACAATAAAGAGTCTAGGTTCAATACTATGTTATTTAATAGTGAAACAAGCACGAAGGGTCACAAAATTAAATGGAATTCATTTTAAATGGAGAATAGGACATGATTCTTTACAATTCTTTGGTTGCGGGTGTCTGGAACGGGCCTGTGACCCAATCTGAGGACTTTTAAGATACTGCTAAGTTAAATTTCAGCATCATTTAATGGTTCAACTGCCAAATGAGCAAGAGTGGTCAAATGGCACCTAAAATGATCTTACATCGTTCTGAAGGTAGAGGAGTCACAACAGTGGGCACACCGTCCCTGTATGGTTGTAGTTACCTTGTTGGCCGGAGGGGTGAGAGGGATGTCTGTGTTCTGCATCCACTGGTACCGCAGGGGCTGGGCCTGTTCTCCACTCTGGGTGCTGCTGCACTCGGCAGCTGGGGTCCTGGTGGCACAGTAATGCACACAGACACAATTACACACTCTCTCCCGTGCCATGAGCTGCAGAGCCAGGCTGATCTGGGGCAAAATCACAGAATCCCGCCCCCACATGGAAATACAGGACTGAAATAATTTAAGAGAGATGACAAACCCCAGCTATTACCTGGGATCTCAGTGCATGACAAGACGCTAATTTGGATAGTAAGACCTTCCTTTGCTGAATTTATTGCTCTGCCTCCCTCCCCACTACCTCTTCTCTGCTATGCTTCCCTGACTACCTCATCCTCATGCCAGTCTGCTGTGCTTCAGCCCAGAACTCTCAGCCAAAGCAGGCATTTAATGCATCACCTAGGTTTTCAGCAAACCACGAACAACTGGAGGGATTGTCTGTCTCTCCAGAACTCTGCTGTAGGAAGGAAGACGCAGCCCCTCACAGCTTTCATTTAGGGCATGTGCTGCCCTGCCACGTCATAGCCCAGAGAATTCAGTTTTTGCTGTTGTTGAAAACAGCGCAATGCATAGCAAAACAGGTTAGTACAAATGTGTGCCGTGCAGATCTAGACTCCTGCTGGGAAGACAACTTAATTATACATTCATCATTAATTCATCATCCAAGCCACACAAATGGAAAAAAGAAGAATGCAGAAACCAGCAGAGAATGGTCCATCTTTAAACCAGCTGGATCATCTCATTTTGAGATAGACTTACAGCAGATAAGCCCCGCAAACCAGCCACCATTTCCTAAATACTTTTATCCAATTATCTCCACAGCAGTGGCCTAGGAGCTGGTTAACACAGGGGTTTTCTCGCCAAACTAGAGAGTTTCAAGGTCCTGCAGCCTCCGATCTGTCACAGTGATGGCAGAGTGGAGTCAACCACCTGCTGAGATTTCACTGTCCAATCCGGAACAGCCAATAGTCTATCCACCCAGCTCATGAGGGTGACTCCCATTCCAGTGGTGGACTGGATACACACTTGCTTAAGAACTATTAGAACCCACCACTGTTTTCCACAGTACACACTGACCAACAGATTTTTAAAGACCACATGTCACAAGAACACATGGAATGCTACTGTGTGGAAAGTTGGACGAGCCCTGTCTGAGACTCAAGCCCACCCAACACTATAGCAGTCAGGCACTTGTGCAGAACCACCTAGAGAATCCTGTGTTGAACCCAGTCATCCCTGACCCCTGACCTCTGACCCTGACCCCACCACCAGCACAGACAGACAGGAGTTGACCGCCCTCCTTTACCGCTGCTCCTGGTCACCATCCTCCTCCGTTGTCACATCCAAGAACCGCACACGGGTCTCCCTGACCACACTGTATCATTAGGAGGAGGAAAAGTTATGAATCACCTGTACTCTGATGTTTCATTGAGTCACACAGTAATCCTAGCAAAACTACACAGTGGAGTTAGGTCAGGTGCTTCAAAAGGCAGCATTATCTACACTTAACTGTCTTGCAGACAAACCTAATTACTAACATACTGTACCAGTTTCTTCAACACATTGGAAACTTATGCACCTTGGCTCTCAAGTAGTAGATAAATGTGAAAACTAACAATCCTGTCTGTGGAGGGACTACAGCAAGGACCAGTCTGTGCCCATGAATCTGCTTCAGACTTGAAATGGGGACAAACATTTCAGCAGGTGATCCAAAGCACAAGACCAAAGGTACTTTCAAAGGTACTTGAAAGTAAAAATCCAGACTTCAATGTTATTGAGAATCTGTTAGAAACAGCCATTTATGAGGCACCCCTAAGCAACTTCAGTGAGCTTGAATAACTCTTCCAAGAAAAATAGACAAAACTTGCACCAAGCGAGTGTGAAATGTTGGTAAAGGCTTACCCAAAAATACTTCATGGGAGTGAACACGTATGCAAATAACATATTTCATCCCTTTTTGCTGACATTATCTTACCCATAGAGGTCTTCAGTCTGAGCATTCTGGTTCTAAATAATATTAAGTGTTGTATGGGTATGCATGTTTTTATTTTCACAAAAAAGCATAGGTGGGGATGGAATAACTTTGAAAAGCACATGTAAGCTTCCACTCCTTGCAAGCCTACTGTAAATATTTTGCAGTCACTGCTTAGAAGCTGTCTCAGTCTCATCCTTCAAAAGTTAAGAGGTATAGATGGAATGCAGTAATAATGATGGCACAGCCACAATTCCAAAGAAGTGCAGAGGTGTTTATTATGAGAAACTGTGTTCCCAAAGCCCATACCCAAAAAAATAAAGTGAAAAATACAAACTAACCAAGGGGAAACAACCCCACAAAACTATAGTATAATAATATATACTGTACATTAATTGATTTAAAAAGATAGATTGTTGTAGGCAGCTCCTATTCTGCACTACGACCAACTTCCTCCTATCTCTCTTCTCCTATCTTGAGGAGCTCCTTTTCTAGGTTAAACCCCTCCCCCTAGAATATTCCACTATAAAGCAAAAAAGAATTCTAAAAAATAATAAATAGAATTCTGATACACACCTTTCTCCAATGAGTACACAATTAAACAATAAACATATTATTAACAAAAATAAAATGTTATTACTCTTTTTATGTACATAAATATTTTTAGAAAAATACTACCCCCTTTTAATGGTATGTTCTTATAAATAGATCCACACATGCACAACCCTGAAACAGGCACTACTAAGCCAGCCCCTGTTGCCATGCCAAGGTTTGGGTCCTACTGGTTGCGGGAGAAACCATTTTGCCGATGAGAAATCAAAACAAGGTACAGTATTTATTTGAAAGGTGCGAGTTAAACACCAATTTCGTTCATTTCACTTATAAAACAAATAAAAACAGGTGTTTGGTTTGAGTTAATGTTTAATTTTGAACAACCCTTACTTTACTCACACCCACAGAGCAAGCAAAACTATCCCGGAAGACTAGGTAAAGTTTGTTTACCTTTGAAACCAGATTTATCACCTTTGTTTGGATAGTGAAATGTTTGCGTATGTGTGTGTACATGTGGATACCTCCCGAGTGCCAGATGATCTGGAAACGGAGTCTCCAGTCACAGAAGCATAACCAAACAATAAAAATATAAGCCAATGAGTTTGATATGTTGAGCCTTTTGCTAAAGAAATTTAAAAAGGGTCAACCTGAAATGTGACCTGTCCCCACGTCCAGTGGGGACTTGCAGTACTGGAGGCTGTCCCACCTCTGACTGTGAGAGGTGAGGTTCTTACCGGTTGTGCTGTCGATTGGTTGCCTTGTGGAAAGGGCTTCTACCCAGGCAGAGGTCCTGCCACCTACAACGCCGATAGAGCAAGACGAGGCACACAACTACCAGTGGCAGGACGAGGAAGAAAAAGATGAGTAAAGCCAGCCGTGATGAATTTGAGTCTGTGAGGGGAAGAAAGAGGGAAGAGGAATAGTTACAGAATATGAGAAAGGTTGAAAAGGAGACGAAGCCATTCAATCCACCTTCCTCTTTAATTGAGATCTTAATTCAACCAAAGTTCAAGAGTTCTGTCCGGTCCAATACCACCCATATGATTTTTAAATTCCACATTTTTCCTTTCCCGCACTCAATACCTGGAACTTAAGCTTGTTAAATTTAAAGTGTCCACACTCTGGAAGTTTGAAGGTCCTCTTTAATTGCTGTTGCATTTTTTAAACTATTTTGGTATTTTGAACTATTTTGGTATCATCTGTGATTGTCATGTACAGTATTTTCTCATTTTAACAATGTCTCAGCCATTCATGCAGATTAGGAGTAGTAGCCCCTAGAACTGACTCCTGTGGTACCCCACTACTGGCCTCACTCTAGACTGAGTTAACTCTCTTAACTACACCCTCTGTTTTCTCCTGACTTATCCTTCATCCATGAACACACACTACTTTGGATACCAGCAACTTTCAGTGTAAGGGTTCGTTTTTCTTATGGTATTAGCAAAAGTGTTCTGAAAGTCCAAAAATAACACTATGCCCTCATAATCTACTGTATGGATTACTTACGCAAATCTAGCAGGTTAGTTAGGGACAACGTATCATTCCATTACAGTCTGTCCATCTAGTTTTGAAATATACCACAAAATATGTAATGTTGTGCTCTTCTATATTTCTTATTCTTCCTGGGTCACGTGACAAGATCAAAAAATAGCAATTACCCTGTAGTCATACTCTGAATCAACCATTTCGTGTCAACATTTGTGCTCCCATTTGGCCTATCCTAGTCTATGCGAGGAAAACTGAGATCCCTCAATACTCAGTACCTCTCCACTTTGATCCATATACAGTACATCTGATTACAAACAGCGTTTTCACCGAACTTACAGGGAAAGAGACCACAAAGTCTCAACTCCATGAAGAAGGCCCCATGGCCGAAACGTTGTGTTTTTTTTTCTCTTTTCAGCATGGAATAAACCTATTACTTGTTTCTTTTGCAGCCTACTCATGCTGACGCAGCTACCTACCTGAACTACTTATATACAATTATATACATACACATTATATGCAAATATATAGTATTTTGAACTGCTGGTATTCCATAAAATAATGTTATCCTAATGTTATTCTGGTCATGATACAGTATTTAAGTAACTATCAATCTTGCAAAGGCCTGGCACCAAACTAAGACAATAAAGTCTTTCTCAAGTTCAGTGAAAATGCTGTCCTGCCTCACCGACGTCCTGCGTCGTGGGGATGGTTGACTCATCCTGTGCTGTGAGGTGGTGCTCATGCTCATGCTCAAGGATAGCCTGCACTGTGGAGATCGCGACAGCCCAGCCCTATAAGGCCTACACTCAAGGTAAGCCTGCATCTCTACTCAGAGCTTAAAGACATTGCTAATCTGGACCACAACTGGTTTAATTAAGCACATATGTGATGGGTGCACATACAAATAACACTACCCCGTAGCTCTAAAACTGAGTCTGTGCTCTAAAACTGGGTGGATGGTTGTCATTAGGCGTAACCAATGAAGACGTTACCGATGCTGGCCTGCGTGGGGCCGCTGTCCACACTACCCCCGTAGCCCCTGTGCCGACAGTCCGGCGGCGCCCAGCCTGCATCGCAGTGGCAGTTCCTGTTGCTGTTGCAGACCTGCACCAAGAGAGACAGCTGGTATCAGAGGCAGCACGTTCTCAAACCGTGGGCACCTCACTCATGAACCTGGTGGCTCCTGCAAAGTCCTTAATGGAAAAATGGAGCCATTTCATTTCTAGGGGCATGTATTCCACATAATTAACCCTTCAGCTCTGGCTCAGGAGCAGGCCAACTCAATGCTCTCAGCGTAACTAAGAGAACATGCAAAACATTTCTACTTCTAATTCTAATAGCACTAAAGCGTTGAACATCTTACAGTATATTTCATTATTAGAGTCATGAAGAAGATTTTCAGACTCTAGTAGTAAAACGATGCTTATACTCTTCTGCCTGTCATACACTATTACTTACAGCCCCCCCCCCCATTCCTCCCTTGTACCCCTGCACCCCCACACACCCCGTGTCCATTGCACTTCTTCTGACACTCCTCCACGCCAAACACAGCGACATCCTGGCAGCGCTGGTTCAGGCAGGCCTGCAGCAAGAGCACAGCAGAACACAGAGGTCACTCGGCTTGGTGCAAAGTCAAGATGACTTTAGGTCTCGATATAAAAACATTTCAGCAACAACCACAATCTCGCACTGAACCCTTCCAAGAACCTAGCCTGGTGACAACACGCAGCCATGCTGCATGGCTCAGACCAATTCCCCCAGCAGTCAGTGGGATGGACCGTGACCTTTGTTCCACTACATCTGACTACAGGAACACCACATATTACTAAGGTAAATGCTGACGTCCGCACAATACCACCGTTCTGAAAGGTGCAAGACGAGAAGATAGTGAAACTGTAGCAGTAAAACTATGCTTGACACTTCTGCAACTGCAAGACAGAGCACTGTAAAAGCCAGGGTTTATCAGGATCATTTGTAAAAACTGACAAACGTTTTTTAAAGAATTGCTTTGCTGCACATAAAAGTGTTTAAAAGCATCCGCCCCTGGAATGCCCACCTTGCCCGGTCCGCAGGCTGTGCCTGGCGTCACCATGCCAGGGTCCGAGACATCATCACCCAGGTTGAAGAAGGTCCCGCGGCAGGTGAGCTCGCTGCGGTTCAGCAGCACCTTGGTGGTGATGATCTCAGCATTGGAGCCCAGCAGGGGGCGGTCATTCCCACCCTGGCACTGGATCTTCCCACAGTGCACATCTCTAAGTGGGGAGAGAAGATGACACAACTGAGCCTGGAGTCAGGCTGCTATGGCATTGGTGCCAGTATAAAGACACAGAGGCACAGATGGAAACCCAGACAGCAGAGTGAGATAAGCAGCCGAAACACCTCAGGGGTATATACAGGATTCCAGCTATTTAGGCCAGCTTACACAGTGGGTACACACACTTGATGACAACAAAGGGGTTAAACAGTGGGTACACTGTGGGACAGCCCAGGATCACCCAGAGAATACTCACACTTTGGGATAGGCCAGGATAACCCTGGGGATACTCGTTCTTTGGGATAGCCTAGGATCACCCAAGAGATACTTGCTCTGTGGGAGAGCCCAGGATCACCCAGGAGATACTTGCTCTGTGGGAGAGCCCAGGATCACC